CAAGGGAAAAGTGTAAGGTCTCCAAGGGTGGAGCTACCACAAAGCCTCTGGTGAGCCTGTCCCAGGGCTGCATCACCCTCTTAGTGAAGATTTTTTCCTGAAGTCCAGCCTGAAATGTCAAAGGTGCAGTTTGATTTGTTCATTTTTAGAATCAGAAATGAAAGCATGTCTGTCATGTCACTCCAGAAATGAACACATCCACTGCTGTGTTATCTGTTACTACTGAGATCAGTTGGATGCTGTTGTTTTTAACTCCCTCCCAAATAGTTGTGAGCTGCTGTTAGAAAGCCCCCCTAGGCCTCCTCTTCCACAAACTAAACAACCCCAGTTCTCTCTACTTCTTCTTGTAGGCCACATCCCCTAGACCCACGGCCATCCCAGTAGCCCTTTGCTAGATCTTATTTTCTCAACATCCTTTTTGATTCAGGGAACATGAAGTTGGACATTGGTATTCATGATAGAGATGAGATCTCCAGTGCGTAGAAGAGGGGGATAACAACTTCCTGCTGGTCACCTTCATATTGTGATGAGAGTGTCCTGGTGGCTTATATTCAACATGACACATGGCCTGCTCCCACTCGGCTCCCAGCCCAAACTGGTGTTTGGTGTTTTCCACTCCAGGTACAGGCCTCTGCACTTCTCCTTGCTCAGGTGTCTGTCACCCAATTCCAAGTTTCTGTGTCCCTCCGAATGGAAGCTCATCCATTCAGCATGCCAAACACTCTCCCCTACCTTAGTACCATCCTCAACTTTTCCAAAGATGTTCTTTGTCTCCTCATGTGGCTAATGAAGCTACTGAACAATATTAGCCCCAGCTTACTACAGGAGCCCAGCGGCCCAGCCAGTCCTCACCTCACCCAACAGCCTGGACTTCCAGCCCATACTTCCACAGCTCCTTACGAGTGTGCTATGGAGATGGTGTTGAAAGCCTCACTGAAGCCAAGTGGTCTCTTAGTCACTGCCCCCAGCCAGGCATTTCATCAAAGGAGGCAGTGCAGGTGGTAGGGCCCAGTTTGCACTTCATTAATCTTTGACCACTCCCAAGCACCTTCCTCCCTGTTACACGCTGGAAATGGACTCAAGAGGACGTGCTTCCTGTGCTTGCCTGGCACTTGAGACTGCACCATGTTCCCTGTCCTAAGGACAGGCATACATGTAACTTTTATCTTTCCCCTCTCCCCAAGGACTTCCCCCAGTCGCTGTGGTTTCCCCTGGTTGAAGCTCGCCATCTCTCTCAGCCCCCTGGGGTGAAACCCCTCATGGATCTTCATGTACACACATCCAGCAGTCCCTAGTGCCAGCTATCCCCTCCATCCTAAGCTACCGGGGCACACATTGGTATCTGGTTTAGGCTTTTCCAGCATTTTCCATGTTTCATGTCAGTCATCTCCCCCAACCATTGGCAGCCCTGTGGCATTCACTTTGGGTATGTGCAGCTCTCTCTCAAGCCCTCTTGATCTGCAGTGCTGGGTGCAGGAAGCCACGGGCAGGAGACAAGCCTCAGAGAAGCCTCCAGAGCAGCCTGGGCAATTGTCTGTGCCTCTGAAACCAGCCAGCAGCAAATCTGAGAGCCCTGAGAGGCTCAGAGACAGATGTGGGAGAGCTGGAACTCATCTGATTGCAGCCAGAGGGCTGAGCAGACTCGAACCCCATTCATTACTGCAACCCCACAGGGTGAACGCTCAGATTTCTGCACTCTGTTCTGTGCAGCTGATGAATGTTGCCTGCAAGACACGCTAAGAGCAGGATAGTCACCAACCTGCTCATACCTTTAGTTATCTTCTAAGCAATTGCTTTCTGAAGACACACTTCAATTAAAGCTGAAGCAATGGTCTCTTCTCTCCATCACTGCACAGGGTAAATGAAAACATACCAGTTATTTCTGCTGCTCATGGCTCACAAATCCCTAACCCTCGTGCTGACTGTCAGCCAATGTGATCTTGGCAGCACGTCCTGTCCATTCTCTATAAAAAGGGGGGGAAAAAGAGGATACTTTAATACCAACAACAGAAGACCTCTTCCTTTAGAAGAATGTAAGAAGTTGGTTCAAATGCCTCTCTGTAAATGCTGTGTGCAGATTCCCCTGCATATCAGCGCCACTCATGCAGAAGGGATCCTGTATCTCTTTGGCTGAGTGTCTCAGGTTTGGGGATATTAAAATACGTGTAAATCTTCAGCTGGACTGCTGTCAGTGCCGGTGCCTAACATCAGGCAACATCTTTGCAGCAAGCAATTTACTAATGCAGTGAATTTAGCTCCATTTCCTGTTTGCAATGCATCCAACAGACAGACCTCAGTTGTTATTCTAAATGTGTTTATAATTCCATTTTATTTCAGCCTGTTTTATTTGTACATGTTCCAGCTTATGGAAGGTCACAGGCACTCTGTTTCAAGTACAACCGCTCACCCCCATGACGTGTTGTTTTCCTGGATGACTGAAACCTTTGTGAACGGTCGACTGTTCCTCTCCCACGCAGGCACGAGCACAGCCCCAGACGCATCTGCAGCATGTTGACTGGTGGGCATGAGCCAGACCCCTTTACGCACAGCTCTCCAGTCTCTCCTGCTGTTCTCAGGGAAGCGCTTCAACCCCAAATGTCTCCCTGGTGCGCACGGGGCAGGATCACTGGGAGAGCAGCCTCCAGGAGAAGAAGCTCAGGTCCATAGCTCACAGCCCGCCTGGACCGAGAGCAGCACCCACGCCAGCCCAGAGGCAGAGAAGCTTCCTCACCGCCGGCCCCAGGCCAGCTCCTCTTTCACACAGGAGTGGGGCAGAGAGCAATAAAGCTTGTAGCCATGCAAGAGCTTTTCAAAATGCCATTAAGAACATTGCATAAGGCGCCTCAGGAATCGCAGGCCTCACTGGAAGAAGCAGCCCTCCTGGAGCCATGTGTGTTCAGGCATGAGCGTGACTTCTCCATCAGGCTGTCTTCTCCACAGCTGAGGTGGGTTACTGCGAGGTTGCTGCTAGGAGAAATGACCTGGTTTGGCTAAATTTCTTCTGCAGGTCCCTTGAACGCAGGGCCTGAGATTTTTAATGGCATGTAGGCGTACTATTTAGCATTGCAAAACTGACATATTACTTAGCTAAATCTTACTTTCGGAAGTGACTGAGGTCCTCTGGAGATTATGGAGTCAGAGCAGGATTCTAAGAACTGGTTATAACATGACTCTGTTTGAACAGGCAGAAAACAAAGAAGGACCTATAAAGACACTCTGACAGTGGCAGAGAAAGCTTACAAACTCCCTGCCATTTTACTTTACAATACACCACTGAAGTCTTCTCCTAACACCTACTTCCAAGATCAATCCTAGGGCAAAGGGAAAAAGAAGAGCTGTACAAAAGGAAGGAGTAGAGAATAGCAACACGTGCTAGTCCTGCTGGACTAGTGCATTAGGTGATGGCAAATCCTGTCTCAGAAGACATCAAATGCACCAGAAGGGAAGGAACTGAGTGATGTACTGGGAGTCAGGACAGCAAAAATGGAACAGTAAAATATTTCAGTCTGTTTTGCCAGGAAAACAGGACTTAATGCAATCAAACTGTAAACGCATCTATGCCTCTACCTTCTCCTACTTATCCCATTATAGAAGTGAAGCAGCCTTCAAAATAATTTGTCTACAACTTCCATAAAATTAAATGGCCCACTAGAGAAGATGCTTTTTAGAGCTGCAACACAAACTCTTCCCTTTTTAACAAGCAGATAGCCCAAAAGGGAGAATTAATCTTGTATATGACCTTACTACAATAAAAGCTTGAGTAAGGAGATAGCAAGTCCTTAGAGCACTGACTCAGGAACAAGATCTATTTACATTAGAGAACTGGCAAAAGTCAGTTCTTCCCTGCGAAGTCTTCCCTGCTGCATGGACAATAGCTTGCTTTGGAAGCAAGCAAAGAGAAGTTTCAATGTAAATTAGCATCAGCTTTTGTTCATCTGAACAAACCACATCTTGTAAGCTGGATCAGAAAGCCAGCTGCTTTAGTTCAGCCACTGGGGCAGCTAGCATAGACAAAGGCATTTGTTGAAGAAGGGGGAGGTTCCTCGAAGCATCACTAGGGAATCGAAGAAGAGGTGAAAGCAACTCTGAGAATCAGGTAATAGAGATCTAAGCTTGAGATGACTCTAAAACTGAAGGCAATTGAGAGCTTAGTAATAAAAAGGCAAGGGTGGAAACATCTAGGTTAGAAGTTGGTAAATTGTGAGCACAAAGATGAAGTCACCAAGAAACAGGGAAGAAGAAAAAAAAATAAAAAACAACCATCAGGTGCCAAAGTTTTGAGAGGAAAAAAAAAAAAAAAAAAAAAAAAGAAACAGAAAACTGAGTTTGGAAAGGTATTGGGGAAAAAAAAAAAAAAAAAGACTACTGATCAGCATTTCTTTCCTTGTTCTTTGCACTGTCTTAGAAGCCAGCTTATCTTGTTCCTCCTCCTCCTGAGTCAGAAGTCAATTCTTATCATCACCTCTTCACAGGCTTTGTGTTGCTGCTTTGTAGGATGGATAAAAAAGATGCAATGGGAGGAAACTGCAGATGATCTTGTCCAGAGATGAACACAGGTAGTATTCTGACCATGTCTCTTCCCCATCCAAAGATCCCTCCTACTCAAGGCCACCCGAAGTCACACATTTGTATTTGACACTTATAAAGCACTTGGCAGCACCTCGTTCCCTGAGTCATTAAAGTGTTGAAAAATAAGCATAGCCACAGAATAAAGGAGTTATTTTCAAAAAATGTGTACTTCTCTGAATCTGAAAACCCCTTTCCATTTAGAAAGATAGATGGACACAATAGGGGGAAACTAGGACACAAACAGGCTTTTGACTACCTGAAGTGCCTGAAGCTCAGTTTAGATAGAACTGACACTTTAATGGAAATCTGAAAAGTTCCATTTCCCAAACTGGTGAAGACCTTAGGAAAAATACTCAAACTACTGAATAAATGAAAAAAAAATACCTTCAGGTATTGCATGCATGTGATACACATTTACCACTTGCAGCTCATAGCTTGAAAGGGTGCTTTATTTTGTTTCAGTACAGATTCAGTCCAGTTCACAGAGAACACAGTTAATACATATCTTTACTTTGTAGGAGAAATGGGCATGAACACATGAGCACTCAGCCACCAGTCTTTTATAGCCAATTTATGCAACTTTCACCTCGAAAGCATCATGCATGGCACAGAGTTTTCACTAACACCTCATAAAGGAGCACTGTAAAGCCATCTCTAGAAACGCAGGAGGATGGAAATCTCAAGGACTGTAAAATTAAATGTATGTCTATGCCATTTGTGGATCTATCCTTCAAAATCCTGTTTTTGAGATTAACTGGGAAGTTTGTTTTAGAAGAATGAGTCCCTGAATAACAATACTTATTTTCCCTTAAGGTTCAGGTTCTTCAGGCTATAGATAGCAATCTTTACTTCAGGTAGCCAGTGAGAGACAGACTCACAGCAGCCAGAACTGTCTTAAAACCTGATCTGTGAGCTGCAGCAGCAGCTAATACGAAGAAAGGATACCTGAATCTCAGCAGAACAAAGCAGACTCCCACGTTCAACCACTTTATTAGAACCTGAAACGAAGGCAAGAATGTTTGCTAAATTAATCCCTGTTACTGTACCAAACTTACCTTTATTGTTAGACTTTAGGTCTGGTAGCACCCATGAGGATTTGGGTTTTTTTAAAGCGCATTGGACTTGAAGAGTCCAAAAGTTCTTCTGTGTCCCCCCATACACCCAGGTGTATATCAGGTGGTCTAGCAAAAGGTACCATCGCTCTTCAAAAACCACTTGTTACTTACATCAAACCTATCAGAGGGTTCTTTGATACACCTAGTACAAACTCTATCACACAGGTTCTACCTTGAAGGAAGAGAAAGCTGATAAATATTGTAGGGAGTTATCTTCTATTTGGGGGTGGAAACCTCTCTAAAGGTGGCTAAAGAAGGGTAACATTTCTGAACATAATGGCTCTAAGGGAGACAAAACCCCTGTGTCTTCCACAACCTAACGTGAAACCCAGCAGAAACATAAATACAGAATGAAGATGAGAGGACAGAAAAGGGACTACAAAAAGATACTGTCAGTCTGAAGGATGTTTCAAATACAGCTTTTCAAAGCTGTTTTAAAAAAATTGTGCATTCAACTTACTCATGAATACTTCACTATTTCTCTGACACTTCCAACTGATTTCTTTATCCTCTCAAGGAGCTACAGAAAATCAGAAAACATCACGAGACAATGAAAGCAGTGAGTGAGAATATACTATCAAGCACAGAATTCTTTCTGTATGCTGTCAAATGTAAAAGCAACACAGCAACTCTCATTTGTCCTCCATTTAAAACAAACAAGTTTTGAAAAAGCTTAAAATAAACGTCCAAGCTGAAAGTTCATGCCCAAGCTCCTCAAAGATTTAAACACAGCATTTTACAACTGAGAAAACACTGCATCTTTTTATTTGTAAACCAGAGTTTGAAATACCTTACAATATACTTTTAATTTATTTTTTTTCTAAAGAAACAGCATTTAAGAACTGAAAGAACAGTGTGGCATTAAATGTTAAGGACCATATTTTAAAAACCTTTATTTAAAAAAAGGTTACTTAAGTATGATGAATTTAAGTTCTATTTTAAAATCAACTACCTAAGCATGTAAGTAATACGAAATGAGGTGCAGAATTGGAAGTCCAGTCACAGACGAGGCTGTAGAGTTGTGCTTGAGATAGAAGAGGTCTACCCATGGCGGGCACGGCTGCACACTCGTACGCTAACTCAATCTGTCTCGGTCATGAACCCTGCAGATCTGAGCGACTCCACCGATTAGGTCAGTTTGATCTACTTAATATAAACTCGCCCTTTCTAATAAGAAGGATATTAACTAAAGCTTTCAGTTAAGCAATAAAACCTTACTAATTAGCAACAAAAAATAAAAATGACATGCTTGCTCTGTTTCAGGCACTTTCAAGATCATAGTTTATTTACTGTAGGTAAAAAGCTAGTATACAGATTAAGGGATCTCTTAAATTTCAGCTCTACAGTTATACACCATCTAGTATTCTTGCTCTGAATATTAACCAATAAAGTTTCTAAACACCTGTAAGCCCCGCTATAAATCTGCGTTATAAGGAAAAAAATATATAAATCAATGCTTAATTTGTTCAATGCATAATATTTACACTGTAAAACGAATGGGAGATGTAACAAGCAGTGGTAAAGAGGCAATAAGTTTTAAAAAGCCAAAGTTTTATATAGTTGTTTTGTTTTTTTACAAGTGTGCTAATCAGCATAATTGTATATAAAAATTAAAATATAGTAGAGTGTCCCATTACAGAAATCTTAATCATCTGAACTGCAGTCATTACTTGCTAACCATTTACATGCAACACCTGCTAGGACTGTTTTTAAAATGTAAAACAGATTATAACATTTAAGAGACAAACATTAACTTGTATACAAACAAAATTAAAAACTGCACTCAAGAATTGCACTGGTCACAAGCCTCTTCCATACAGGAGGGAGAAAAAGAAAAAGAACGACAGAAAGTGGTCTCTTTCTGTATGCTAATTATCAAAGGCAATGCATAGACAGAGAATACCCAGACAGCAAACTCTGTAGACACTGGAAACAAACAGCTTTCACATACATACTCCTTAAAAGAGGCCTTTCCTTCCACCAAATGGCAATGACTGACAGCAAGTAAGGGGCACCAGGTGTACAACTAAGTAGATCTTGCAAAATACTAAGATGGGGCAGTTGTTAATATACAACTTGAACTATATTTACAATATAATGGAATGTATCCCATCCCAAAACTGGTTTATGAAACAATTGGACCTTTCTACACTAGCCTTGTGACTCAGCTACCATTCTAATGAAAGTATAAGTACACAAGAGACTTACATGAAAAGTAAAATTTATGGGGCATTTTACAGGAACTATTGATAAAGCTGCTAAATGGAATTTCTGCTTTTAAAGTAATTTTGTTAGACATAATTGAAATAATACCTGTGTATAAAATGCCCTGACAGACACTTCAACATGGAGCTTTGGTGATTTTTAAAAAAGGCCCTTTTTGATCTGTTATGAATTGTACTGCAGAAGTACTGATGCATGCACACATCTGTGTCAGCTGAGACTAGTGATCCAATTGCATGCACATTTCCTCGAGGTGCTTTCCATGTTAAACCACTTCAATAACAATAAGATGAAAAATAGAGTAACAGAAATATTTCAGTTAACTCAAATTTAATAGGAAATGGAATGCCAATATGGCAGTAAAACCTTTTTCTGTTGTTGTTTTAAACAGGAAGGTCTCTTGTACCAGCAGAATCCTGTATACAGATGCACAGAGAAAGAGGGAATACACCACTTATAATCCCCATTAAACAAGAGCTGATTCATGTGAGAAGGTACAAATTACAGAAAACATGAATAGTCAATAGAAGAGAAACAACTGGTTTACATGAAAGAAAAGAGAACACTTCAGTCTGATTGCAGTTATTTTGTGAAAGCTGCTACAACAGCCCACAGAACCTCATTCGTGTTGGCTTTCATACATTCAACCTCAGGGTCTAAATCCAGAAGCTGCCGCACTCTCTTTGTGGCTAAATCATACTGCTCATCCAAAAGGGGGGCAAAAGCGTTCTCCAGAACATCTGAAGCATGGGCTAAATAAACGAGTGCCAGCAAGCGCTTGTCCATGCGGTGGGGGTCATTCACCCATTTGTCAAGAACTGCTTCTTGAACCTTCTTGATGAGGCGCTGTTTGATATTGTTGTTGGTGAGTGGGTGCGTAGTCATGTCAAAAAGAAGGAAGTTCTGTTTCTCTGTTGTCAGTACACCTTTTTCCACCAGATTTTTAGCTAACCGTTCACGGACATTTCGTAACTGGTAGTGCAACTTTAATGGGTTCCATGTTTCACCTAAAAAAAAGGCAAACAAAAAAAGCCAACAGTCAGGAAAAATCTAAGCTGTACTACTACAGCAATTTTTTCCCCTCCTGTGGTGCAGAATGAGCTGTCAAATTCATATAGCTGACTATAACAGTAAGATAGCGTGCTCATGTCAGCATTTCTCTGATCCCTGACCCATCTAGATACACGCATAGAGACTGAGACCATGAGAGCCTCTTTGAGGAGTTTGTGTGCATTTAAAGTTGGGATGCAACACTAGACAAGCTACATCTTGAGCAACGATATGACAAATAAGCACTCCTCTACTGATGAAAAATCAGTCATGGAGACTTTTTTAAAACAGTAACCATAAAAATAAAAATAAAAAAATTAAAAAGCATCTCCTCCAACCCTGTCTGCTCAGTCTATGTCAATTCAGGGACTGGAAGCAGCATCATCACCATTCTTTCTGTCACAAAGACAAGCTAATATATACCTATCCCATACGCCCTCATTTCTCTTATTTCTTCAGGTTCATGCTCTTCTTTCCAATTCTGATCCCTCCAAGGTGAAACAGGCATGCACTTTGTGAGTGTGGGTGAGTGGATGTACACAAGAGCACTTGTGTTGAGGTGGGCTTTGATGTTTCTATAATAATTATTTCTAATGCTTTCTGTTACGGCAGGACAAATGGGCACTTCAGAGCATGTGCATGCACTTGAAGAAATTTTAAAAGCACAATAGCAGGAGCTACTGATAAAAGTCAAGTTGTTAAACACCGAGAAATTCTTCTTTGATTAGAAATTTACTTCAGCTAAAGTTTTTAGGTCCAGCTTACCTTAGTATTTACCTTAAGTATTAAAATCTCCTCCTGATATTAAAGAGCCTATGCTCTTTAATAGGCAAGGGCAGAAGCAGCATTAAGTATTCCTTATGTAGAACTGTTTTTTCCATAAGCAATATGACAACTTACATAGCAACTTGTGTTTATTTTAGAAAGCTATCTTTGGTTAACTTTTAATAATAACAAAAGAGATGAATTTAAAGTTTCTCTCATTGTGATAAAAGGTGAAAAACTGCATCTAAGAAACAGCCAGGTTAAGTACACAATCGAGGAGACACCAACTGCATCATGAAAGGTAAAGAACCTACCCAGGCCTGAGCCATGCCAAGTCCCAGTAGGTCCTACACCTCACCAAGGTGTGATTTCCCAGCTTGACCATGAATGGAACTATCATATACCAGCCACTACCACCCCCCAAAAAATGCAGTCTCCTTGTAGTGTTCCCCACAGCAAAGGTTATGTCCTAGATGCTTCTGAATCTGTCAGGTGATCTATGCGATACTAAAAACCAGTACTGTGCTGACACCTTGTGACCAATCTCCACCATTACACAGAGGTAATGGTGTAACATTTATTACATCTGCAGAAAGACCTGACATTTTGATCTGAACTTCGGTATTTCCTATACTTCCTTCCCTTAATTTTGTTATAAACAACAACAGCCTGAAGAACATAGCCTCAAATGTCCATACAAGTATTTCCATGATGGCTTTGAACTTGTATGTACTAGAACTTTAAGCATTATTCTTTGCATCTCTGATAATTATGGTTGAAATAGCTGTTTTCCAGGATCCAGCCCTGAAGTAAAACTTTGAAAGAAAATATCAGAGGGCAGTTCTCTTAACCCTGGGAAATGCAAAGAACCCTAATGCCATCAAAGAACTAGTAATTAAACACCATGGGCAAGTAAAAAGGATTGATCCAAGTCTCAGCCACAGCACTAATCATGATGATCTTCCCAGAGACAAAGCTTAGCAGGCTCATGCCCCAAGGAAACCTACAGCATTGTTCATTCATTAGTTGACCTTTTTTAAATCAGTACTAACTTCATGCGCTCTTCCCTGGGAGACATAGTCAGTGCAAATTACATATTTGGGCGGAGAAAAAGAGTCGTTTCTGCAAGCTGTAAAAGTGGAGGAGAGCTGATCAAGAAGAGGCTAGACCGCAGGGATGTGCAGCAGCCATGCCCCCTACTGACAAGAAATGTTTTGTTCTCTCTCACTGAGAAAACACTCACGGGACAGGAAGGAAGGAGTGGCAAGGACACAGACTATGAACTGTGCAAGTTTATTATTAAAGTACAAGGAAGGCTATTTCAGGCAGTACAGGAGGAATAGGAAAAATATAATGAAAACAAGAAGGCAGAGAAAGCTGGAGAGGTTTTGCTCATTTTTGAAACTCACTTATCTGTTGTTACAAGTAACAAACATACATGTATTTACATGAACAACTTCAAGTCTCATTACCCCTACCTCCCAAAATTATGTTGTTGACAAAATAACGATTCCCTCCCTGCTACTGCTCAGATAACCGACGTACAGCTCTGATCTACTCCAGGGAAGCTGCATCTTGTGTGTTTTGTGAAAACAGAAAAGCCTTGGTAATAAATTTTGGTGACAGAAAAAAAAGCACTACATGCTCTTGGTCACTGGTCTTTTCAGTGTAATTTACGCAGTTTATTTTATTTCAGTTTAATTTCTTTTACAGGAAAAGCTGTGCACTAAGTGCTCCTTTTGAAGCCTTTGTTTTGAACAACTAGAAATACATGACATTAGAATGCATGTTGAATATCTGTTACATCTCTTTATTGTTTCTCTGTGGTTGATGGCTGAATTTTGTCTCAGTTTTTACATAGGAACAGTCAGCTCCTTATCTTCTTTCCTCATCAAAAAGCTCTGAATACTGAATCCATATGAATATCCTCTAAACTTCCACTACCCCTCATTGCTAGTTACAGAGGAAGGCAGTTATACATCTACAGGGCACAGCCCTGATTCACTCTGGATTCAGCAGAAGACATCTCCTCCACAGAGTTGAAGTGTTCTCTGACACTTACATCTAGATCCTTTCTGTACCAACTTAAGTCAAAGGAAACACTTACTTATGTATGATTAAAGGCTACAATCAACAAGAGACTACTGCAGAGGACAGACTAATTACACTTTTGTATAATTTTTTCTCTAAAATCCTGCAGTGTAGTCTCTAGTGATGTCACATGGAGGGGCAAAAAAGCAAATATGGTATGTCCAAGGCTTACCACTAAGCAGTTCAATCCAATTTTGTACTGTTTCAGGAGGCTGGGTCTCTTTTATGTGTTTCAGAGCTTCATCAAGCAGAACATCCCCTGTAGGAGCATCTGACTTGCAGATCACCTGAGACAGAATGGAACACAGTATTTTCACATAGTTCATATAACACAGACATCCATCAACATAACACAGGAAAATCTACCTGTTATGAGAAAAAAGGAAAACTTTAAAAAGTGAAATTTGTAAGAATCATTATTTTTTTAAATATCTAGTTGTTAAAAAACTATTCAAGATTTTAATTACAAAAAGCTATATTAAGTCAGTTACCTGTAACATACATTAAAGGCTAGTTAACTAAACTTATAGCAATCATACATATCTAATACCTCTTTTTTATATATACATATTTTTAAGGAAGACAATCCACTGACCTTATTAAGTCCTTCACTTCTTCCTCAAAACAAAGTATACTATACTACAGTGTTAAACTGCTCTCTGATGGCAGTCTATTTTACTGCTTTAAATCAATTTATTCAAAGTATTAAACAATTAGTATTAAACAATTAGGCCACATGTAACTGAGAAATCAATTAAAAACTGAAAAAACAGGAAAACTGGTTTTCTTCCATGTATCAACAGAAAAAAATGGGTTCGTGACAACATCTGTAAGTTTTACAGCTCCAGAGAACATGCTGACCAGCAATATTACATTCCATTCACTAACAGTTAATTCATACATGTTAGGCAAAATATGTACATACCAGAGATGACATTACATATTACAGGGGTTTATGTTTGTCATTTAATAAATTATAAAATGATTTAATTGAATTATTTACCCAAGGGAACACAAGAGAAAGAAAATCATTCACAGGAACATAATAAATTTTAAGACCTTGAGTAACTGCTTGTTTACCAGTACACCAGTACAAGCAGTTATATCAACCATGTACAAATGTCTTTCTAACCAGAGGAAAAAAAAAAAAGGTAACAGCACTGAACTAAAAACGTATGAATTTCATTAGCTCAAGTCAATATATTTTCATTATAAAAAAATACTCCCCCCCCCCAAGAAACAACAACAACAACAAAAAATACTCTTTCTTTAGGAAAGAAAGAATTACTACAGCATCAAAGTTGCTTATGGAAATAATGATTAGATATAACAATTCAAATTGTTTTATAAGTTATCTTTTTACCTGATGCATATAAAGTGCTAAAAATAAACAAAGAAAAAATTAACCACATTAAAACAATTCCACAAATAAAGGAGAATCATTAGATACAAAGTCTTACTTTTAATAAAGCTTCCCAGTAACCAGGAAGATGCTTGTTACCAGCCAGTAAAAAGCTTTCAGCGTTCCACTGAAATACATCCCAAGTTTAGTTCTGCAGTTCTAATAATTCTTACTACAAACAATAGAAGAGGAGAATATGCTCTTATAGGGTCTGTAGATAACACTGAACAGAAATGAGTTCCAATGTAAGGACACCTTCATAATGGCAAAGTGATCCTTAACTGAAGATGTATCCAAGGACAATGAGATAAAATCAGAAAGAAACGTGAAGTATTATAGTCAGAGTGAAAAACAGGGAACAAATATGAAAGATACAATAAATGACTGTCTAATTTGGAATGGCAGAAAAAACATCTAGTAATTCTAGCAGCAGACTAAAAAACAAATGAATCAACAAAAAACAAGTCTTTTGGCAAAGGGATAATTTCAATCTAAACTGTATTAACAGGAAAATTGTATGAAAGATCTTAGTGAATACCTAGCAGGTCATAGCTAGAATATTATGTCCATTTTAGACAGTATATATAAAGAAAGTATATATCAAGAATGAAGCTGTCAACAATGACAGGTTAAAAAGAATTAGGCTTGTTCAGATATAAAAACAAAGCATATAAAATATTTTTGCAAAGTGGTTATCAATCAGGATTTTTAGGATTTTTATCAATCAGGAAATTTAGGATTTTAGTCCAGGCAATCCCTACTTGAAACTAAACACACTTAATGACCACTGTATTTCTGATTTACAACCTTGTAGTGTAGCTTCACTCAAAAACTTCATTAACGATGTATAAAAATATATAATATCTCCCAGTTCTAAACTGTGTTTTCTGAACTTTTGGAAGTTTCTATTATTTAATTTCAAGTAAATACACTGTATTGAGGTTATGAGTATACGATTTGAGTATATAATATTGAGTATATTTAAAGTTTTGGTTTTGGTTGCTAGATTCTGCTCTATTAATAGCCACCTTTCATGTATTCCTGAAGAAACTAGTCAAAAAACACCCAACATACATTCATCTTTAGTTCTTTTAAAAACTGACATTCTGGCAAAATTTTAGTTTCTTTGAAGTGTCCCAGATGATTAATTTCATGTAACTTTTTTCATTGTAACTTTAGTTATAGTGGATAGTTCCAGCCTCCTGCAGTTGGTAACCTACTACTATTCACCATCTCACTAAGATGCAAAGTCAAGTTATTGACATGTTTTGTGAAAAACAACCAACACCACATATACCCCTCAATGAAGAGACATACCCCAGACTTCAGACCATTTTTGAAAAAAAAAAAAAAAATCTTAAAAACTTTAGAAAACAGCTTTCCTTGCTTATTTGCACTTAAAATACTTTTTACTGCCACTGCAAGGAAGCTTAAGAAGTTAGTTTGAAGATAACGCACGATGACAGTCTGAGACTAAACATACAGGCGTTAGAACAAAGACCTATAGGGAGCATAGACTCCTCCATTCAACTCAGTCAGGACACCATAAGCCCTCATGAAGCCACAAAACACGGCGTTTTTGTCTCCAAGTTTACCATTCTCTGCAGCCAGGCAATAAAGCACTGTTTCTTCTCACTCTCTGCTACAGTGAACATTTACTGTACAGATTCTTCCAATTATCCTTCCCCTGAAATAAAAGCATTTTGATTTATACCTCCCCGGTATTTCTTTTCCTCCTCCCTTTTTCAGCACGTGGAGATGGGCAATAATGGGAGCTCAGCCACCTCTCTCCTGTGTTCACTGATCTGCTCTTTCTTGAATGAGGATTTATTGATCAATGTCTCTTGGTTAATTAGAGCACAAGAAAAGTGGGAAATTGAGTGGGTCGGGCATCTTGTGAATTGGATCATCACAGAAGACTAAGCATCCTCAAGGGGAATATTTTCCTTTTTTTAATAGATGAGTTAAAATAGAGAAAGAAGATAAGAGCCTGGTTCTTCAGAGATGATGATCCTTAGCCCTATTAAGGAAGTCTTTCTTTATTCCAATTTTTCAGCAATTTATCACATATTAGCTTTGCCTGGTATCTGACTGCTATGAACATTTCAATTATACAGAGTATTTAATTTGCATTTGCCACAATGAAGCTCTGCAATTAGGTGATGCTAAAGATGAAGCACCTCATGCATTGACTTTGAGTAAACTCTTCATTATTTAGTTTTAATAATGAGTAAAAAGTCACTCATGCACGGATCACTCATAATTATCAGTTATAAAATAAGAAGTTAATTCACCAAGGATTTGTAAGATTTATTTCAAAAAAAAAAAAAAAAGCTTAATTATTGGTTTTACTTTCTGATACAGTAAGGCAGCATAGAGTGCCATTTTCTGTCTTCAGTAACCACTGGTCTTAGAAATTGCTTATTTACATACAAACTTCAGCTTTCATTTATTTGTTTCCAGCAGTGATGCCATCAACAGATGCAACTCTAAAACAATACAGTGATTCTATACTCTCAAGCTAAACTTACAAGGACGTTGCAAGATAAGAACATGTCATACTGACTTTCAGAAGTTTTACTGAAGTCCATCAAGTCTGCCTGCCAGTTTCTCAGTCTCGTTTGGCTCCAGCATTCAAGCATGTACTTGATTTATCTGTACTACTGCCCAAAGAAGTAGTTCTACCCTCCTCTTCTTCTCAGTTATTACTTGTGCCACACCTTGTGACAAGACCAAGAAAATGATCCAAGTAAAAATTCAATGGATCAGATATGTGGATTAGTTTTCAGACAGTGATGACCTGACAAGGCTGCAAGAACACTAACGAGAGACTGCAAAAATACTAAGCTTCCTTGCAAAAACAGGACTACCCTTCTCAGCTGCAGCACCAACTGAAGTAAATGAAAAGAGCTCCTGCCTTCATGCTATGGCTGGAAGATGCATGATTTTTGAGACACATACCAGAGCTTTGAGTTTTCAGGAGCTTCTACGTTCCCACAAAGCTCCAGAAAGGTCTGGCACAGGGCAGAAGAAGGGTTAGCTTGAGGTGCAGATGCTATATGAAGTGATACTGCTGCCTCACTGAATCACAACCTTGTATGCAACTAGACAGCTCATTCCACTCACTAACCACGGTATTTAATTCACAGCAAGAAAAAAAAAAAAATAAAACACAACAAGGTCAAAGCAAGCAAAGCCTGCAAGTTTGTACCAAAAAGGGTGGAGGTGGACACTTGGTAGAGCTAAGGCACATATATCTAGCAAATATGGGAACAAGACTGCAATTTCATATTAAACAGCGCAAGGATTTGCATAAAATGAGAAATAAAACAAGAATGATTTCTAAACAGAGATGGGGCAGGACAGAAGAAATATCATAGATATCAGAAGTTAGGGGTTTTATTTGCATGAAATTCTATAAGCAGAAATCAATCTTCATTTGAATTTTATGTTATTTCTCTTTCATAGAATGCTCCTGCCTGCAAAAAAAGACACTACGTTTTCTTACAACAACAAAAAGAACAAAGCATTGAATACTATATAGCTTTTATCTCTCCTTAAAAAAAAAAAAAAAAAAAAAAAAAAAAAAACACCCCCAAAAAAACACATGATAAAATTAGGGAAAAAAAGGAGCGGAGACAAACAAGAATTTGGTTTGTACGCTGTAGTAAAGATACACACAGGTTATTTCTTCATTTTCCTTAAAAAAAAAAAAAAAAAAGTAGTTAAAACTTCAGTTAGACGGACCTGACAAGGTTTGCATAGAAAGAAAATAACTGCTAAAGAACATTCCTGAATACCTAAGGAGCCAAAAGCTTTGTGGGGGGAAAAAAAATGTACAAACTAATCAGTGATGAATATGCTTAAATGAAGCTAAAAGAAGTAGGAGCTGTTTGCCTGAACAGAGGTTCAATTATTTAGAGGAGAAGGAAGCTGGGAAAAGGTTAGGGAATTTGGAAGCTTTCCTTTTAAAAAAAAAAAAATCAGCAAAGCGTAATATTGACAAGGAAACAGGCTATGAAAGAGAAATTATTTGTGGTGGATAGAAATATTTGACCAACTATTCAATAAACTTATTTTACAAGAATCCACTAATGCTGATGAAGTAGAAATTCAAGTGGTATGACTTCGCACATTCTGTACTAAGGAAAAAAAATCCAGCAGCAAAAGTAATAAATTAAAGCTTCAAATCTTCAGCCTAATTCAATACAGAACCTTAAAAATTTGCCCATCTTAAAGGTCAGTGAGTATAACCAATTTAACACACCAGTCACATGCTTCAGCTAGACAATTTTGTGCTCTCAGGGGCCCAAAGTACAAGGATGTTTCCTTCCCATGCAGTGCAAAGCATACCATGCAGAAGATACTGTGTACACCAGCACGAACTGGTGGCTTGCAGGATACATCTGGCTCGCTGTCAGTTATCTGTCCGTCTCAGCCCCAGCCCACATCTCACTGACATTGCAAAAGCCAGTTCCTTGGACAGATTACAACCGGTGCTGCTGGCTCCCAGCAGTAACTGCTGTCACCGCACCCCAGCCACAGCCACTGCCAGCTGATTGCATAAGGCTCCCAGCAGCAGCAGGAACACCTCAAGAGAACTAACAGGAGCTGAGAACAAGTACAGAAGATTTTTACAAAGCCTTTAAGCTCACCGTTTAAACAGTGTAGTTACTAACTCTGTACCTGTGACCGAAGCCACTACTCAGAACATCTAAACCCATAAAAAGAAAAAAAGTTTTTCTTTACAACTGATTGTAATTTTTAACTATGCATTGTCTGGAACACAACATAAAAGCAAACATGACCACTTACCTTTCTGGTCAATAGACTTTTGCGTCTCATTCCACAAGCCTCTAGCTGAAGACGCCCTCGCAATGCCAATTCGATTAGCATGCAGCCACGCAATCCTGAGGAGATGCAATCATTCCAGAACGATGTGTAACCCTGAGAAAATTGAAAGACAGTAAGATACCTTAAAACACCTTAAAACAAATAGAAGAGGCTTGCTGTGTTCTGTAAGCAGTCCTCTTATCCTCACACACTTGTAAAGTAGCACTACTAGACAACCACCTTTCCTGTACTGTAAACATGAAAGAGAAACACACTCATCCTCTGTTTTTTTCACTTAGTCTGTTCTTTGAAGAACAGCAAAACTTCAGGAAAGTGACACCAAACAAAATAGTACATACCATTTAGTTTATACGTAGTCAAAATTAACTACTTACATTTTTAAAACATCAAGCATTTGGCATTACTAACATCACACAGGGTTATCTGTGTTTCCTGAGAAACATTAACATGGTTTTACTTCCATAAACAATATAGCACTGAAGTAATAATGTGAAAATTAATATTAATATATATATACACACATAGTTTTTACATGGATTGCAAAGCTGCAAAACACATTTATTCTATGAACCACACCACACCTAACACACTCCATCCATATTTCCGCACAGATAGTTGTCTGCTTAAATAGCAGAACCAAATATTTGATACGATAAATTTACTCAATCCCTAAAAATACATTTACTGAATTTTGTACTTCACTGCTTGACAACTCTGACAAAAATATGAAAAGGATTCTATTTAAATTATACAGTAACCGACATTTAATATTACCAAACATGCAAGAGCAGTATTCAAAACAAAATCATTCTGAGAAATAATTTATCTTTTGGGAAATGGTTGTGGAAACACTTGGTACAACCCTGAAAGACCTTCCCGAACTCCTTTAGCAATACAACCTCTTTATGAAAACATCCACTTTGGAATACAGGAAACAAAAAACAAATAAAACGAGTACTCTCTCAAAAAATTTACCCTAGCCAGTAACAAAGACCAGCCTAAATCATGAACAATACAACTTCATCCTATTTGCAAATGACAGCTGCCAGTGTACAGAGATACCAGATAGAAACACATGATGTTCACTAGACATACAACCCAGTCCCAAATAAGGCATGCCATTAAACATAGATCTCTAGAAACAATAAAATATTTGTTTCCATTTAGCTCTTAGCTATTTTTCCTAGACATGAGGAAATTCTTCACTCAGAGGGTTGCAAGGCCCTGGCACAGGCTGCCCAGAGAAGCCCCATCCCTGGCAGTGCTCAACAACCATGGGCAACCTGGGCTGGTGGGAGATGTCCCTGCCCACGGCAGCACGTTAGAGTTAAATGATCTTCCAATCCAAGCCTTTCTACGATTTTCAAGAGCTTTATTACATAAATGACCCATACTTCTAAAAAATTCTACAAAAATACTTAATTAGTAGAAAGCCATTACTGAAATGTCACAGATATTTACTTAAAAGGCCATAAACATAAGGTTGGAAAGGCATTTGAGAAGTTATCTAATCAGCTACTCTCAGAAATCACCCATTTGGTAATTTGTTTTCGGTAGGCATCAGACATTTCTTTGCCAAAAAAAATGCATAAGATATGGTGCCATATTTTCTTGATAAAAACAAAACAAAACAAGGATTCCTACATTCTATTTCCAATCAAATAGTCTCTTTATACTATAAAAAAAAAGAAAAGTAATTTTTGAAATCAGAAAACACATATGCAAATTAAATATCTACCAGACAAACAGCTCTGGCATAATACATACCTCTTTCCATTCACAAGAAGTGTTATATTATTACGCAAACAGTTTGTTCTAAAACCTTTTCCCTTGCTTAGTAATGAAAACTGCATTTAAAGCATTTATCAAGGAGGTGACGTTAACTAGACTATTCCCAGCAGCAATTACCAGGTATAAAATCCTTAGCTCCAGCACTTATTCTACATATGTGGCCACAAGCTGTGGGATGCAGAGAAATAAATTATCCTAGGATAATTCCAGTTGGAAGAGACCTCAGGTCTCTAGTCCTACCTCCAGCTCAAAGCATGTTCAGCTATGAAAGTCAGAACAAGTTACTCAGGGCTTTATCCAGGCAGGTCTTTAAAATCTGCAAGGAAGGAGACTGCGCAACCATCTGCTAGTTTTTAATTAAGTGATCCTGAAAGGCAGTTCAAAAAGATTATGACCTTCATAAACGGAACTGCTTGCTCTAGTGGGTTTGATGACATTAAAGTCATGAGAATGTATACTGCCTCACTTTTTTTTTTTTCTCCAGGCTCATAGTTTGCAGGGGATCCAAGAGAAGAAACATCATATTTCAATATCCAGAAATTATACCGCTATTAATGAAGTGAGGAAGGAGGTATTATGTAACAGCCAGTGTCATCCTGAACATTTTTCAATCCATTAAACTGTTCTTTCCAGGTAGTTCAAGCAGATGGATAGATAACGTTTGGCACTTACTGTAAAGACCTCAGACAATTGAAGGAACCTTCAGAGAAGGTCAGGTTAGCACACAACAGTCTAACTAAATCATCCTTTAAATTAACTCAAGCTTCCTGGTGTAGCTGAAACAGAATAGAACCGGACATTTATCTTCAGCACTGCAAACAGATCCTTGACACCTACCTCAAGTGGCATATAGCACAACTAGAAGCAAGTGCAGAAAACAATAATGTTAACGCTCAGTGTTACAGAACTACTGCCTAATAAAGAGGCAACACGGACAGTGAAGAAAAGTGGAATGGAAAGGGCAAGAGAGTAACAATATACAGAGAGGAAGAACAGCAGTATGAAGTACTGTTGTACTATCTACACAGGAAGCAAGCATTTTTTTTCTTTTTCCAGGCAAGACCTAGGGGGTGACTAGTGAAACTGACAGGTTAGTAAAGTCACAGGTCAACTTCTTCTCTACCTAAGGATTCAATTGTCCTTACAGGAAGGCAAAATTAAAAACAAATTTGAATAAAAGGATTTGTTAAGCCCCCACACAATTGAAGGTCAGAGTGTACAATAGAAGAAGGGTGTGTCTGAGCCTATTAGCCCCTGAACACTGCTGGTTACGGGTTATTGAAGACAGTAGGGATTTGGTTTGGCCTTTTAACACTGTTCTCCTACTATGTTCCAAATACCTAGCAGTCTTAAAACACTTTCATTATAGACCTAAGATCACTATTTACAGTACTATTTACAGCAAGTCATTCCACTATTTAATACCCTTGAATAGCACTAATATTGCCACCAATAAAACACCAAATATTTTTTGCTGTATCTGTATTCTTACAAGTCTTCTCTAATTTTATAAACACCCTAACTCCATGAAATACTTATTTCTTTAAAGGTGCTAAGTAAGGGGCACATGTGTGTCTTAAAAGGTACTGAATTATTTTTATCTGACAGCATTCGCATTAGAATTGCACTTTAAGCTATGAATAGCTGGTGAGCCAATTTTAAAATCTACGCTGATTCAATGATCAGAAGAACATTTACAACTGTCATGTTTATTTACAGAAACAGCATGGAAGTGGTTTTCTTCTGAGCTGACCTAGAAACTCTAAGATTAAAAAATGCTTTTGCTAGACAAGCATAAAGGGGAATGAAAATGAATTTTATAATGGAAACTTGCTACTCTATTAACTCTGAAAGCTCAGACTTTCCACTCAAGTATGGCAAAGCACGTAACCAAGACTAACATCCTCTTTCTACTTAAAGAATAGGTTATCTAAAATCCACATGCATTACACCATGTCCCTCCCATCACTTCTTGCAGCATTTACTCACTTTCTGCTCTTCACACGCACCTTCCCCAATTCCCTGCTGACACAAGCCTTCCTGCATGGTTAGCCTTTAGTCACCTGGAACCTAAATACCACCCATCTCCTGACCATGGCCCTGTGCCTGGGTATTACCAGCCTACCACCTTACCTTCCACTTCCCACTTTTGCTTTGCCTCTTCAGCTGCATGTCCACACCACCTGCCTGTGACACCCTATCCTACAGCTGCCTACTTCACCACCACATGTTCCTATAACATAAAATACATTAGATTTTCACTTCTGCATTTATAAAGGACTGAGTTTCTGCAGCCCTCGTGGATTTCCTCAGGTGTGTTCAGGCAGATGGGGCAGACAAGGCAAAATATTTATGCTACATGTATATACGGTGAGCAGCCGCCAAGAGGGATGGAAATCCACACAGTTATATTAAAACACATTCAAGCAAGCAAGCCTCACTGATACACCGGGTCTAGCTTTGCTGAGCAAGGCACAAACTCTTGCAGCTCCTTCCTATGCATCTGAATACAGCACAGTGTAACCACATGCTGGGCCTGTAACCCCTACAGACGCTGGCACACAGAGTGTGATGGGGCAGGGCTCACATACATACCCCACAGGGAAGAGGCCACGACTTGAAAGGTCCTACCTATGTCCCTCAAACCCTTCACTTGTGTTATTCCCTAAGGATGTCCTTACCCAGATTGATTTTCAGGGATGTTGGAGGCAATCTTCTCAAAACTACACTTAAAATAAGATAGTGTTCTAGAGCTTGCTAGAAGTGTTTGTAAGGATTGCTAGAAATTGTGAGAAATCCTGCATAGCCAAAAATATTGATGTCTTGAAGCAGCTAAAACGTTATCACTGGGATTACAAAAAACCTAGTGCCATCATCCGGTTATGCTATAACAAAGCCACTGCAAAAAGAGAAAACACATACACAAGACTGACAACACCAGGGTTCTGTGCACAGAGTCTATTCATGTATTTTTTTGAATCACTCAGTACTATTGCAGCATAAGAGCTGTTGCAAAGGTATCAAGAGTACACTCCCACAGAACACATTTATTTCCTATCCTCCACACCACTCAAAATATAAATTTCCAGGTATTTAAAATCCAGAAGTTACATAAATGTCATGATTTGAAGATACTAAAAAGAAAAATCGAAGAGAAGATAACGCTTTCTTCATCTCAGATCCCAAAAGCTGCTGCACTAATGACCACTGTAACTGACCAAGTGTGTAAACAATCAGAAGGAGAAGACCCTAACCTGACCAGAACTACTGCAAATATTTGGTAAATATCAATGCCAAGTGTATCAGTGATTTCAACACAATCAGTGTCTCTAAAAAAAACTTGGAAGAAACTTCAAAAATGTTTCACTGAAGTATTAAAACAGCCCGCTTTGACAGAGCAGTCATTCAGTTGCCTCCTTCATTGCTCTATGCAGCTTCCAGGCAATTGTCAATTTTGTTCTATTAAGAAAAAGTTCAATAATTTCTCAAGTACAAATTAAAGCCACCTAGCAGTAGCAATGCAAAAAAAAAAAAAAACAAAAAATTAAATTGCAGATGCCATTTCACATTTATAGCTGTTATCTTAAAAGTACTGACTGAGTAAGTTTAACAGATTACAGAACAGAGGTTAAAAAAATACTTCCTTTTGAAAATAAGGACAAAAAACTTGTATGGGACCATATAATGTCTTATTTCTGAATACTTTGTTTCATCCATAGGAGGTACTACGAATCTCTTCCCACTACAGAAACATACACTCTCTCTGGAGTTCTTCAATTAACTCACAAGGGGAGACCAGCAGCTCTACTCTACCTGGCTGAGATCAGAGCAGGGCGAGGAAATCTGAAAAACCTGTGAAAATATCTCAGATTCTGAAGAAAGGAAGAGAAAAGTACTTGCAGAGTTCCAACCCTGAGGCTTCAATGTACACATATGGTAAAAAAAAAAAAAAAAAAAAAAAAAAAAAATCACATTTAACATGCTTGGTTAAGACTACCTGTTTACAAACCCTCCTACAGCACACTGCAGACTACAGCTGCCAATGAATTCGCTGATCTAACCCAGTGAGCCTCACGCTATTATAGATTACTTTACAGACCACAGAGCCAGAGCAAATGAGTATCAGCTTTATAAGTCTTTTAATTAAAAACATCATAAAACTATGTAATAGTCTGTGAAGATTACTGAGGGATACAATGGCCTGCTCACCAAAAAATACAAAATATTTGTTTTATGAACAACAGGCCCTCTCAGATCCACCCTTAGATCCAGACTCACATTCAGTATTTGAGTCTCAGTCAGAGCAGAGACTTCGACCCAACACTGACCTCTATTCACATTTATGAAGAACCACAACAGCAGAGCTTCTCTGGGACAGAACACAATGCTCACCCAGTCTAAACTTCTCTAAAAGCTTTTTCATTTAATATTTGGGCTTCAGAGCACTCCTTAAACACCTCACCTAGAATCCTCTACTTAAAAGCAAGACAGGAGATCTACTGTAACCAAACTGAAATAAACCAAGCAATTAAAGGGGAATATTCTAAACCAGGACCATCACTGAAGCTACCCAAAATCCTAAATTCCTGTTCTCAGATTACAAATTCTTTTTTTATGAAAGACAAATAAAAAGACTTAAATTTAGTAAAGAATGCAATTTCTGAAACTTCATGTAGAGACACCAGGAAAAAAAAATGCTGTAACCCTTTTGAACCCTGACAGCCCCATCAGAACAGGAGCCGGCCAACTGGGGAAGTTAACAGAAAGCCATGAACAGCAACTGCAGTTCCCAAGAGGCTTGAAGGTTCTAGGTCCAAGGTAATACATCTGATAGTCTACCATGAAGACATGAAACCCCTCACTTCAGGGTTTCACAGCCAGGAGGCACAATCTAGGTCAAAGGAAGCTTTTGCTTTCACTAGCAGTAAATCCCAAATTTACAGGTAGCCTGTTTCCCATTAGAAGAATACTTCAGAGGAAGATTTTCACCAGCTCTGCTTGGATGCTGAGAGACAGAAACTCCAGACTTCTCGAACTCTGATGGAGTTTGCTATTATATTACTTCTGCATGGATGGCATTCAAATACTGTGTTAGTGGCAGCAGTATAAAAGCTCCATGACAAAACTATCATTATGTTTATACATAAACAAGTATTGAGCTTTCCCAAACAATGGTTTTCTTCACTGCCTTCTATTCTTTCTGGTATGTGGCACACTATTTATGGTATGTTCTCAGATATCACAGATGACAAACATACTGGATAACATTCCGTGCTTGGTGTCATCATGGGGTGTTACTGACATCAATTATCTCCAGGTCTCATTGATCAACATCACCAAATTTGCAATCCACCATAATAAAAATACAATGTTGGAGACCTCATGGGCTGCTCATGAGTCATGGTTCAGGAGGAGTAAAATACATGAGGTGGTTCAGTTTTCCTTTGAAGATGTTGCACTGCACAGTTATCAGAGTCTTCTCACATTTACACAGCACGGTGCATCATGAAGCAAGAATACCTGAATGCTTGTTTTCAATGCTGAGACAAAGACTCACATTTTGTATGTACGTAAATTCAAGCATCTTTTCTTAGAGGTACTTAACATGGCAGCAAGAAATACCAGGGAGGAAAAGAAAAAACAGGAAGAGAAATCAAGAACAAAATGACATCCCAGCATTTAACTCCTCTGCCACCATAAGCATCTCTTGAACTGTAAAACTTTTCAACTAACCTTCCGTCGAGTGACTCACATCAGTTTTACTGACACTTAAAATCAATGTCAAAGCATTTCATTTTAACCTTGAATAAAATCATTTAACTTGAGAAGGTTAAGTCCTCCCCCACACCTTCATTATTAGCATTTGAGGGCCAAACCTGAGAACACAGTCCAACAAATCCTGAACCGCTGCTTAAGAAATAGTATTTACTCTGTCACCCCATAGCAGCTCGCTGGGCCCACAGCAGCATTTGCATAGCACACTAGATGAGGAAAGTGGTCTCTGTGAAAGCTAATGGACAGTTCCATCACCTCATCTACTGAGAAGGTGAATGAATTTCAGTGGCAGCACAAGAAAGGAAAGGAATATGGTTAGGACACTTGGCAAACAGTGAAGATATCCCTTCAGTGACAATCCCCTCTTTAGCATGACTTCAAAACCACGACCTGAATAGTTAAGGCTAGAACTATTCAGTTAGCCTTTGGGATAAAAAGCTCAAAAAACAAAAAAAATCACACATTATTGGGTGACCTATAGTGAAGTCATTAATGAGCACTATCTGCTCAGAAGACACAAAGGACACAATGCTTGAGGTATCACACTCTGTATTCATCACTACCTCTAGCTCCCTGTTTTTGGATCTCAGCAATGATTATTACCCTGATCATCATAAACTTGAAGTTATATTATTTAAATCTGACAGGACAGCAATAGCATCCCTTTCTGATTCTCTGAAGCAACAGCAAGTACCTTCAGAGGTGTCTGCTAGCCTATTATTAGCTAGCACAAAGCACAGACAGAACATAATAATCCAAAATCATCATCTGTCACCCATACGAAACCTACTGCAAAAGGCAGGCAGAGACAATTCCTCTTGAAACATGGGCTGTTGCAAGTCGTATTTCATAATGGACTTGATCACAATTACGACGCAACTCTTGCTTTTTTCGGTCAAGGAGTTCCTGTCTGAAGTAATAATTTTGGGACCTACAGGAAGAGCTGGAGAGGACAGGGGGTAAAGAAGTAACACCAGATGCTGTCCAGGTGCACTGCAACAGGTTATAAGGATTTTTTTCTGCCATGGTTTTCATGTCAGGGATGCCTGTTTCCCTCCCCTTGCATCCTCTGGCTGATATATCTGATATACACGTATATAAATTGTAAAGTGGCTTGCAACAGATTATCCGCTGCACAGCTATGATTGCTGACTCCAAATACTTTTTTTAAGTATTGTAATTTTAACAAAGACTACCAGCAGACTGGGGAGCATGGGGCTATCATAACCCCCACAAAGAGGAGAACCATCTTAACATACTGCTCCCTGTATATAGTCTCTGAGATTATTAGTATCTTGAACTTTTGAAAGCAGCTGGAAGCACCTCAAGAGCATCAACATCTCCTTAAAACTGTTCTCAAATCCAAAGAGGTGAAATACGAAATACAAGCAAGTATGTATACATAAACCAGGTGCTTACATTATTCTTTATTACAAATTATGCTTTGACATAAAAGTTCACTCCTTCATGTTGACTCAGAAGGTTCATTTTATGAATTCCAAGCATACCTGTTATCAAGATTCTTCTTCAAGACACACACTACACCTTCTTGGATATTAAGGTCAAGTCATACAACTAAATGGAGATCCCAGGAGACAGGGGCAGGAGAGGATAAACAACAGTAAGTGACCCTCAAATCCAGACAATTCTTTATACAATTCTGTTGTTCCTATCCTTTTAGCTGAAAGTAAAATCACTGATTAAAAAGAAAACACTTTGCCTGGTATTGTTACAAGTAAATCTATTATTTGAGATAATGCAACTTTAAGCAAAAATCTCATGCAGATCAAAGCCAAAAACTGAGTTAGTGTCGAACGCTTATAGAGTCTTTAGATAAGAAATCCCCTTGGAAGCTGGTGTTTTATTCAGAAACACCATCATTCGACAAAGAAGAACAAATACAACTTCTGAGTGGAAATCAGCAAGATTGATGCAATGTATGCCTAATTTAACATTGAGCATATTTATAAAGCATTTGTCCAACAATCTGGTACCTGATTTTTTCAGTTAATCCTAAAAACTTCAACCATATCCTTTTTTCAGAGCAGGAAATTCTTAATTAGAATAACAAACACTTTAAAAAAATGATTTAAGTTTATTCTTTCAGGATATCATTGCAAGAAGCTTCTGAACATAAAAACAAGTAAACAGGATTCGTAAAAATGAAAACAAAACACACACAAAAACCATAATTTTTTCCAAGTTCTCAGTTACACGTAGGAAAAGCTTGTCACTACTTGGACAAATAGCTGCGTATTCATTCTTATCATTTGAATCCCTCAGATCAACATTTCTCAAACTGTGGTCTATATAACATGGCTGGGTGGCACAACTTCAGATAACACGCACTGCCACGTCAGTAGGAATGGTTGGCAATCACACATCTCATTACAGAAACACCAGAAAAGCATGTAAAGAAGTTACTACAGTTGTTAAACTTTCAAAGCACTGCAAAAAAAAAAAAAGCTACTTATTTCTCCGATCTGCACAAATACTTAATTTGATGTAATACTGGTTGACATACTGGATAATACATGGTGCCTTTCAAATTTAATTACTGTGTTAAACTATAAATTTATCTAATCTGCTAATTACATTTAAATATTTTATCAAGTATTTCAAATACCTCTTCTGTATGTTTCCTGTAGGCCACTAAAATAATTTAATTCTTGGCAACCGGGAAAACTGGAAATTTAGTTTTATCAGATGGGAAACAGATGATGCATACAGAATTTTGCTCTGCAAAAATCTGGTAAGCTTCAAACCGCTGATGGCTCACTGTGGACACACAAGACATAACAGGAATATAATGGGCAATTCTGCACTAGTTCTGCTCAACTCCTCTTTGCAGCCAGCCAACATCTGTTTCTACTCTACTAAGTCTTTATGTGGACTTCTACATGCTCTTAGCCAGCTATTCAAGTAACCTGTGAACATACAAAGGACCTTAAACTCCAGGGAGAACCAATCAGAACTTCCTTCATCAGCATAAACATATTCACAATGAGCTGGGAGGAAATGCAAACAATAGAAAACAATGATGGAAGAAGAGAAAAGGAAAAGCTTCATCACAACATTAGTTGTAGACAGGCTGGCATGTCTAAAATTGTTTGAACCATAAAGGTAATGTTAGGCTGATCTCACCACAGGTATTTTTTTATTATACACATTAATCCATTTTCACCCTCAAAGGATAAAAAGATATGTTTTTTTTTTTTATTCCCACTGCAGGTTACTGCAATTTAATCTACCTGAAATTGGGATTAACCACAGCACAGAAGCTCCAGCTAACAGTGAAAAGAAAAGCAGACGTTTATTTTACTTTTATTTATTTTATTATTATCTGCATGTGGTTTAATGACTTAGGCATTCTCTGTTACTTTCTAATACACATTCAGAGCTCCTGTATTAATCTCTAAATCTACCAGCTATAGATTTTTTACCTCTAAGAAAATCTGATACTCCATGACACTATAGTAGCGCACAATGCCAGATGCATTAAAACACAAAACCAAATTGAGTTTCCGTGGCAGAATTCTCTAACAAGTCCTAAATCAATTTCCTTTGGCAAGGAACTGTGTGGTCTTACCCCAACCTATTCATGCTTGTCTAAATAGATAATGTTCAGGGTTAGGGTCTTGCTTAAGGAGCTCTTCAGCAATAGCATGCCTTGTCTCTTCTCATTGTTTATCAATCCATTCCCTCCTAAAAGACAAGAGGGTAACAGAAGACTGCTCGGGAATGTAAGAAAACAGTTAGATGAGAACATGCTCGAAGTTTGTGTTAGAATCTAAACATAAGAAAAAGCTTTCTGGAAATGCAAATTTTTTCTGGGGAGTTTTGAAAGCAAAAAGCTTCAGTAAAGTTTGTTATCATCATCTAGAAAATCATAAAAAGACCAAACTTCCTTTTTTTTTTTTTCTTTAAACAGAATTGTTCTCACACCTACTGCTGGCCAGACTGCAATTTTAACTGTTTCTATGGACCAGCTTCTTTGGTGAAAGAAACAAGATAGAGCTTCACCTGACAGAAATGTATTCGGAGAGGGCTGCTCTGTATATATTGCATGGCTTGTAACCAAAACTGGAATTACCATTTCTCAGGTAGCCCTTAAATGGGTACATAGAGATGTCAGTTTCAGCAAAAGAAGCAGTTCTGTCTACCTACATAATTGGAAAAAAACATATCCATGTTCTTCTGAAAACGAAACAATGTAAAAGAGACATTCATCACTCTTACCAGTCATCCCTCAAATATAGTAATACACAGTAAGCAGTACATACAAACATGTAGATAAAAACATGTCCAGAATTTGTGAATATTCAAAATATTCAAGAAATACACATCTCTAAAGGAACATTGTAAATTTTCTCACATATCATAGGAAAAATAGTCTAACATTAAGTCTGCGCTTTCTGCGATTAAAATACACAGGATTCCTCCTCGTTCTCTGCAAACCAGAATAAGATTCTATGCCAACCTATACCTTGCTAGCTCTTCACTGAATATCTTATCTTTCAAGCAAGTCATCACCTTCTCAGCCAAGGTGGTTGCAGGAACATCTAATGATGCACTTTGACCTACATAACCTTTAAAAATTAATCTCTGGTTTAAGAAGGAAAAGCAAGGCTGAGTGCAGAGTGCTTTTTATTGAAATACCACAACCTGAAGATTTTATTTCAGACTGCTGTCCCTATTTTTCAACTTCTGATGCAATTTACATCATTAGCCATTTTACTGGAACATAAATTGCAGTCTAGTTATAAACAGAAGGTAAGCTAGCGAGCAAAGGCTCTGAAGTGTTCTGACAGCCAAACACTAGAAATACTTTTGGAAAGCAAGCATGCATATTCAAAAATCCAATACTGTTGACAAGGAACTTGTCAGGTATTTGATCAGCCTGACACTGTGTTTAAGAATAAATAACAAACAGCAACTGCTGTCGACTACCGAAAACACTAAAGCCAAATGCTACCGCACAGCTTTTTAAGCATGTACACAGACATCTCTTCACTAAAAGGAAGACAAAAAAAAAAATGCAACTTTGCTGAAGAGGAGGCAATGCACCCACGCACAACTTGGAACTCTGATTGTTCCTTTAGGAATTGAAAGAAACTTAAATCCTCGCATCCTAACTTTCAGCACAATTAGTGTATGCACATGGAGAGAATTACTTCAAAGCCACCCCCTTCCATCAGGGTCCAACCTATATTCTCCATACTTCATGTAAAATAAAGTTGCAGTTTATTCCATAGCCTGCCAATTATTTCCTACAATACCAGCTATTGTCACTGAGCATAAAATCTGGCATGCATTTGAAAGAAGTGTTTATCCTCCAGTGTGGAGGATCTGGAGCTCAGATCCTCCACATCACATACTTCACTCTAAGGAAGTCTTCAAACAGCAGTAAGCAAACATGGCAAGAAAAGAAGAGCTCACATCCTGCCCAGATACAAGTATAACAAGCAGGAGCTTACAACATGCAACTTGCACACATTCAGTGCCTCCCTGCGGCTGGCCCTGGCTGGCAGCTGAGCCCCACACAATTGCCCCCTCTCTTTCCCCTATCAGCAGGATTAGGAAGAGCAAAAGTAAAACCAAACAAAACACTTATGTGAGAGATAAAAGCTGTTTAATAAACAAAGGAAAAGAAGAACAAAGGAAGAAAATAAAAAAGTGATGCAAAAGCCATGGCTCACCACCTCCTACAGGTAAGACTGATGTCCATCCAACCTCCAAGCAATGATTACATACCAAAAAAAACCTTTTCCTGCTGATCACAATGCCATATGGTATGGAATATCCCCGTGTTCAGCTGGGGTCAGCTGTCCTGGCTGTGTCCCCTCCACGCTTCTGGCACAGGCCCAGCCTCATCACAGTGGGGAGCAAAGGGGCAAACAGGTAAAGCCTTGATGCTGAGCCCAAACTGTTCAGCAACAGCTCAGACACAGGTGAATTATCACCACTGTTTTGGTCACAAATCAAAAGTAGAGTACTGAACTGGCTGCTACAAGGAAAATTAACTCCAACCCAGCCAGACTCAGTAGCCTTCTATAAAATACTGTAAGAGCAAATCTGCTAAGTCCTTCTAAGGCAATGAAGGTAGTGCTAGCACTAGCAAAGTAAAAGGAGAAGGTTTAACTGACTTTGACCAACTATCACAGAACAATTTAGGTTGGAAAGGACCTTAAAGATTATACAACTCCTAGCCCTGCCATAGGCAGGGACACCTCCCACCAGCCCAGGCTGCCCCCAGCTCCATGCAGCCTGGCCTTGAGCACTGCCAGGGATGGGGCAGCCACAGCTCCTCTGGGCAGCCTGGGACAGGGCCTCACCACCCTCTTCCTTATGTCTAATGTAAAATCACCATTATTTTAGTTCAAAGACATCCCCCCTTGTCCTATCACTCCAGTCCTGACAGAGTCCCTCCCCAGCTGTCCTGTAGCCCCCTTTAGGCACTGGCAGGCTGCTGTAAGGTCTCCCCGGAGCCTTCTCTTCTCTGGGCTGAACGCCCCCAGCTCCCTCAGCCTGTCCCCACAGCAGAGGTGCTCCAGCCCTCTGAGCATCCTCATGGCCTCCTCTGGGCTCACTTCAACAGCTCCGTGTCCTTCTTGTAGTGAGGTGCCCAAACCTGAACACAGTACTCAAGGTGTGGCCTCACCAGAGGTGAGTACAGGGGGACCATCACCTCCCTGGTCCTGTTGGCCACACTACTCCTTATACAAGCCAGGATGCTGTTGGCCTTCTTGGCCACCTGAGCACACGGCTGGCTCATATTCAGCTGTCAAATGACCAATATCACCAGGTCCTTTACACTAGGCAGCTTCCCAGCCACTCTTCCCCCAGCCCATAGCATTGCATGGGGTTGTACTCCCCCAGGTGCAGGACCTGGCACTGAGCCTTGCAGAACCTCATACAGCTGGCCTCAGCCCACGGGCCCAGCCCACCCAGATCCCCCTGCAGAGTCCTCCTGCCCTCCAGCAGATCAACACTCCTGCCCAGCCTGGTGTCATCTGCAGACTTACTGAGGGTGCACTTGATCTCCTTGTCCAGATCATGGATGAAGATATTGAAGAGACCTGGCCCAATTGTCTATTGACTAGGCAATATTACAACTAAAATGCCCTTCTCTGGGTTTAGAAATATACTGTATCTGTCTCCAAATACAACAGCTATTCTTTTAAAAATAATAATAATAAAAATAAAAATAAACCTTTTCCACCCTACAGTTAACACAACTTAAAACTCTTAAGTAAAGCAGGGGGCTATTTCAAACTGGGAAGCAGTGCAGTATTTCATTTTGATGGATCTGCATCACTCTTCATTTATCAGTCATCAGTGAGAATGTACATCCAGAGTAATGTTTTCGGTGTCCAAAAAAAGCGTACATAACCAATAGGGGTTCCTCTCTTTTGTATGAACTCCCAGTTTCCTTTCAGCTTGTCCTTTCCAGAACCACTCTTTGTTTCACTTGCCCAGGTGCAAAAAATTTGCAAGAACCAGACCATCTCACAACAGTGCCACATCACAAATTTTCACTGTGAGATAAGAAATAACACTCAATGCACTGTTCTTGCATTAAAAGGAACACGTTATTCCATTTAGCACTTAAGATGTACCCACCAGCAAACTGAAAGCCCCACACACAGTCTGCAGATGCTGCTAAAGCAGAAGGCACATTTGAATATCCTGCATGGGCAAAGCAGTTGTAATTAGCATTTAAGAGACCAGCACAGATTTAACATCTACACGGCATTTACCTCAACCTGACCAATGAATGTAATACCTGCCTTCTCCACTACGCAGAACGTGTGCTGGAACTTAATATGAAAGGAATGCTCCACTCATGGAACAGGCTGACAGACATGGAAGTGCCAGTGTAAAGTCAGGCATCTTCAAAAGTGAGAACTGTTAGTGCCATGTCCTGTGAAATAATCATTTTCTGGACAGAAAACCCATGGTACAATGTCTGAGTACACACTCTGCGTACCTAAGACAGCTAGCCTGTCAATTAAGGACTGTATCGAACCACACAGTGCTACCCAGTAAGACCATAAAGGGAGATGATGAGAAAATATATAGCAATCAGCAGCTTATGTGTACTTAAAAGAAATTTAGCAACAGAAAAATATGCAAAGAAGGCCAGTAGCCTGATTTCCTAGTGTGACAAATAAATCACACAACATCCACAAACAGCAAAGGACCTGCAAATGTTCATTGCATTTCTAATTACAAAGACCTAGCTCACAAGGCATACCATTCATCCTTTTAAAGCTCCACCAAAACCAACAACTACAAAAAAAGGCTGAAATACAGTAATTTAGTTTAGGACATGGAGTTGGTGCACATAACTTACTTATGCATAATATGGGTTAATCATAATACCACATATCTATGTGTTCCTACTCGTCCAGGCTGATATACAGTACAATTCAGAGGAGGAGAACAGCTGTATATTATTTTATTTGCAATTTTACTGCAGAAAGATTTCAGAAATCATGTATTATGAGTATTTCTTTCTGAAAGGAAAGAAAAATTACTGAAATTTACATTTTACAAGCAGGTTAGATGTGAAAAACGGTCAGCAGTGGCACAGAGTAGGCTGACTAGAACTTTTTTTCCTTTCTTTACCAAAAGTTCAGACGAGACAGCCTGAGAATGTTGTCTATGCAGAGGAAACTGACAAACACCACTACTGGAGATGATTTTCCTCTCTTCACAAACACAAGTGCAGCAGTCATTTGCTCTGTGTAGAACAGTCATTCTTAACTATTCTTACTGTCTGCAACACTTTGGCTGGTCACTTTAGCCTTGCAAAGGCAGCCCACTGCATGTAGCTTTCTAAATGCAGCAGTGCCTGAACTACTTTAGCATGAAAAACCAGCTGAATACCACTTTTTCTTTAATGGAAAACGTTAATTTTTCAGTTCTGTGATTAACCAGCCATGCTTTCTCAGGTATACTTCATACAAAATTTACAAAAAAATAGCTTGCTATAGGAGATGAAGAAGAGTTACAGCCTTGCTTTTTAAGAGCACTTAAAAATCAGAAGTGTCACTAGATAGGCGCTGACTAATTTTTGCCTGGTCTTCTTACAGCTTTATATTAAAGAAGGAGCTAACGCTACACTTAAAGATATTTGTGAATAAGTCACATAGACTACAAATTAGCCATGCTAGGAGAGCAGGGATAACCATGCTGGCTGCATGAAATAAACCTGAAAACTAAACTCCATTTTAATACATAAAGTCAACTTGTAACTATAATGCTGCTTCCAGATGAGCACGTCCTCCAAAGAGCCCCAAAGCAGCAAGATTTACTGAGAAGCCCAGTGAAGAGGCACTTCATTGCATCTTGTAGTGCTCAGAATTTGGGCACTCATCCTCCCGTGCCTCATCTCTTCTGATGGCCTGCCATTTATGTATGGTCATGAAAACAAAAAAGACCAGAGAGGTAGGCAATTACGAAAAAGAATTTTTCATAACAGACATTACACACTTTGTTGTTATTAGGCCTTGAACATTTGAGAAAAAGGACGTCTTTGTCAAGGTTTCAACATTCATACATCATTCTTCAACCGTGATGTGAATTCCCGACAGACGCCTCCTCATGTTTCACTCATTCGTCCCAGAATTTTTTCAGCAAAACCTGGGAGCTAGAGTTGATACTCTGGCTACTGCTGAAGCCTTTTGTTAAACAGGAAGAACAACTGAAAACAAACAAACAAAAGCAAACAGAAAAAAATAGATAGCAACAAGACTTTCCAAAACTTCATCATTTGTACACAGGAAAAAAAAAAAAAATTACAACATTTCTGCATCAGGATAAGAATTCTTCAAGTCCAAATTTTAGATCATAGAAAATGCCACCCGTATCTCAGATGTTTTTAAAATTATTCTCATTTTTAAATGAGTATCTTTACAATTAACACACAAATTTCAGTAAAAAAAAAATCCAGCTGCTCAGATTTGTAGGAGAATTAAAGAATAAATTTCATTTTAGCACCGATCTGATCAACACGAAACACCACATTTGAAGTAAGCAAAACGCCTCCCTAATAATTTGCTTCCTACAACGAAAACACAATCTAGAAACCTTCTCATGAACTATCTGGACAGAAAGCTATGCTGCATGACTACTGTAACACCAACTTTTCAGCAACACACAAACCAACATGAGTAGCACATATCCAAGAGAACTTCTGTACTGACCAAAGTGACTGAACATCACTTCACTCACGGTGTTTTGGCTTCACCAAAGAATAAATAAATCCAGAAATATTCACTGTTGCAGTAGTGCAGGACTATTATTTCAGCACACTGATGTGAGTTTTCTTTCAGCAAGTACGGAAATAGTTTAAGTATTTTTACTTACTGAGCACAATTATCTGATCTAGAGAAGTAGGTGCCATGTCTCTACAGCTCGATCAATTTGTTTCGCTGTGGCACACTGTGTACAGGAGCAGCTGTGAGCGTTGCTGCATTTGAACAGATTCCCAACTCCTACTGAGAGAAAACTCCAAAAAGAAATATATATATATATATGCACTCACACACAAATGAAATGGAGAGACGGTCATAGAGCGCTGCCACCTTTCAGCCTGTCAGTTTTCTATGGGAGAGTCACAAGATGTCCAGAAGAGCCATAAGGAACAAACTGGTCTGCACTCATCTCCGAGCTGTCATTTCCAAATAAGCTGACTGTCACTATTTATTACTCCATTCTTTTGGCAGCAGTGACCTCAGATGGTTCAGGAGTTCTACATAATAGCCTCCCTTTCACTGCAGCTTTAACCCACCCTACCACAAAACTATTTTTAACTTCATACAGCGAAGTATTTTATTTCAGTGAGTATTTTTTATTCCTATAGCAACAGGCTATAGCTCTGCTCTAAATGGATGGGCACAACTCCCATTCCCAGCCTTATCTCTGAAGGGATTCCAAGTATTTCCTCGGGGATGCTCCTTCCAGAACTGCAGTAATGCATCCTGTTCCAGTGTATTACCTGCTCCTCCAAGGACACCGCGTTTGTCACGTTATGCAGGCATATGATTCTATGATTTCAGTATATACCCCTTGCAACCTATTCTAACTTTGGAATACAGAAATAGTTACATATACGAAGAAGGTGCAAGCCAAGAGGAACCACTGGTGTGGGAAAAAAAAAAGAGAGCAACCAGCCCTCCATAAATTACATTTTAATAAGATCAAACTTGGGGAAAAAAAAAAAAAAGGCAATGCCCAGGAAGCATGAGTGAAGGCAGTTAATTGTGTGCAAGCATTAAAAATGGGCTGAGGCACGCTGTGTTTGTTTTAGGGCAGCTGGACATTCATATCACTCAACCAGTACTGCAGCGACAACCGGGCAACAACTCAAGAGTTCTGCTATGGCTGTTAAAGGCCCTGCTCTGTTCTGAAAGCACGATTCACGTAAGGATCTAACGATCTCCTAGAAACATACAACTCATCTATCCACCACTGCCTGAATCTTCCTGTAATACTCTCCTAAGAGTAAAGGCTCTTCCACCTACATGTACAAATTATAAATGACATTGCCTTGCATGCAAGGCGTTCCGTACACAATTTATGTTGTATTATGCCACATTCACTGGTGTTTACTGTTAGAGAAAAAAAATTACCCCTCAAAACCTCAAAGCTAAGTTAACAATGCAGTTATTAGTGACTTTCCCAAGAGAGGAAATATTTTCAGAGAAATACGCTCTTACACACATTCAGCCTTGTGGCCAAATCATTATTTTATTCCAAAAAGGATAAAATAACTTAGTGTTCAGTTAAACAGGAATGATGTCAGCTTTAGATTTACTGGTTTTCAGATCACATCCTTGCTTTTGTCTTTCCCTTATACTTTGTGTAGTTTCACAATTATACTTCACAGAGCTTGTTTTACTTTTTTCTCTGTTTTCTTGTCATGGCAAAGGCTCACAGAAATGTCATTGGGAACCATTTCTACTAGAAGTAAAAACTGTATAAAAAGCACTCCCAGTTGCATAAACTTCTTTTGCTTACTTGTGATTCAAAAATAGAGAAAAAAGTCATCCCTGAAAACAAACCTATAGTTTAAAATAAAAAAGACAAAGAGCTTATTATAAAAGAGAGGGACACAAGGGACAGAAAAGCAAAACAAACCCTGGTGATTCATGTCTAACAAACCTCAGAAACCGTATATGCTGTTTGTACACATAAGCCCCCTACTCTAGAGATGACATTACCATTCTTCTTGGCTGATGTTTCCACTGCAAAGTCTTAAGGGAGTCATGAATATCCACTTTAATCAGTGTAATGTCACTGTAATCAGTTCTTCTTTCCATACAAAGAAATAATACATTATCTGTAGCATGTGCCACTGCTGCTCTTCCTAAAGTCAGGTGATTTATAATTTTGATGTACACCAGTGCAAAGCTGGATTTTTTTTTTTAGGCCCAATGTTAATTACTAACTTTCATATACTAGGAACACTTACAGTGTATATTTGTAGGCAGACAGAACACTAGCTAACTTGAAATCTTTACAGCCCAGTACCCACAAATTCAGCAGATTTACCACAGATTCCTGAAAAAAATGGGGTTGAAAGAAAAACCCAGTCTATCACCTCTTCCTCGTAGGCAATCCTGACAGAAACCTGTATCAGCATGCCTAATGCTTCCCTGTAACTATTCAGGTGAGTTGGAAGAGAAATGTGCATAGACACATCTTCAGAGTCAACAGGTGGAAGCACACATCATTGCGAATATCTACTGACTTTATTAGGGTGCCATGGCAAGCTCCATCTGAAAAAAAATGGGATTATAAGAATATGGCCTGAAGCACGCAGTCAGAGAGAAATAAGGCATGTTATTGTAGCAGGTATGTACACAGATACACCCCCCACACATTAGAAAACAAACATTAAGCATGAAAGCTACTCTTTAATCTGTCATCAAACAGCTAATCTATTTTAGATGCAGTGAACTGTCAAAGAGCATACAACTTATCAGCTTCCCCCCCCATTACTCTGTGCTTGTGAACAGGCACGACTTCAAGATACTTCCACCCAAATCAATGAGCTGTCTTCATCAGTTTACTTAAAAATAAATAAATAAATAAAAATAAAACAAGTCACTCTGTGAAATTCATATTGTAATTCAGATCTAAAATAAAACTAATATTATGCTTCACCATACACCATATCAAACTGTTTCCCCTCATAGGGCTGACTTTCTGCAACATGCATGTTTTTTATATTGATTATCCCTTCCAAAAGATCATCAATATAAAACTGACCACCATGCCAGTAGAAATATACCTTCTGTTATTCACAGCACGATGTCAAATAATTAATCTATAAATTCAGCAAGAACACAGAATTTTACAGTTATGCTGTTTCCTCATTTTGACCCACTTACGGTTCAAGACCCATTTTTATCACACGTATCTCCTTGAATTCTAAGGCGTTTTTCACGTGCCTTAGTCTGAAAAGTCGTTTTAGAAAGGGCTGCTGCACATCCTGAAGGAAGTATAGTATAGCTGTGTCTGACAAAGGGTGGACAAGTCTCCCAGGTAAGACCCGCAGGTAAGTTGGAGGTGGAGTATAAACATCACAGGTCTACCCAGGCCTCCAAGACAAGCACTTGTGCTGTCCAGAGGCCTTGGCCTTCACCTCCAGGTACCCATCCCCCAAACTCTCCCTTGAGCCTCCTCTGAGATGCTACAAACTTAAAAACTCTCCTGCCAGGCCCACATCCAAAGTGGGTCCCAACTCTCCCCACCTCCTCCAAACCCCTCGGCACACAACAGCACACAAATCCTCCAGCACCATCACAATCACAGAATGGTTTGGGTTGGAAGGGACCTCAAAGATCACCTCATTCCAGCCCCCCGCCGTGGGCAGGGATGCCACCCACCAGACCAGGTTGCCCAGCGCCCCGTCCAGCCTGGCCTCGAGCATTGACAGGGTTGGGGCAGCCACAGCTTGCCTGGGCAGCCTGCGCCAGCACCTTCACACCTGAGAGTGAAGAATTTCCTCCTGACCTCTACCCTAAACCTCTCCTCGTTTTACTTTACAACCATGCCCTCGTCCTGATCGCCCACCAGCCGCTCTCCATCTGCCTCACAACCCCCCTCCAACTACCAAAAAGCCGCAGCGGGGTCCCCCCGGGAGCCTCTTCTCCTTCACATCCCCAAACCCCCCAAACCCCCCAAACCCCCCAAACCCCCCGCACCTCGCGGTCCTTGAGGCCGAGGAGCAGCACCTCCTCCATCAGGGTGAGCCGCGTCTCCTTGGAGTCGCCCTTCTCGTCGTCCCCCGGCTCGTCCCGCCGCCCTTCGTCCTCGGGGCCGCCGCCGGCCCCCCGCTCCTTGTCGGCGGCCGCGGCGCTGCGGGAAGCCTCGGTGCGGCGCTGCACCAGGCCGGAGCTGCGCTGGGTGAGGGAAGTCATGGCCGGAGGCGGCGGGGAGAAGGAGGACGAGGGGTGGAGGGGAGGCTCGGCGACCGCTGGGGAGGGAGAGGAGGAGGAAGAAGAGGAGGAGGAGGAGGAAGGCGCAGGAGCCGCTCCCGCCTCGGCCCTACCCGCACCGCGGCTGCGGCCGGCCGGCCGGGCTCATGGGGAGCGGGGCTCGGCCGAGGCGGGGGGAGAACGAGGGGGAGGCGGCGGCGGGGGCCGGAACCGAGACCGGGACCGGGGCCGGGGCCGGGGCCGGGGTCCCCCCCTGCGGCGGCCGAGCTGGCGGAGGCGGCTCCTGGCGCAATATGGCGGCGCGGGCTGATGTCAGCGGAGGATGTGGCAGCGGCGGCCGGGGGGGAGGCACCGGAAAGGGCCGCGGGCGGCGGCGGTGGCGGCGGCGGGGATGGCGGCGGAGCCAGCGCTGTCCCCGCCTCCCGCGCGGCTCCGCTCCGCCCTGAGGGGAGGATGAGGGGTGTGGGGGGGGTTAACGGTGAGCTGAGGGGCGGAGAGGGAGGGAGGCGGACACGGAGCCCACGGGGGTGTCCCCTCAGGAGCCGTGGGTCTCCAGGGAAAGGGGCAGTGTCCTGCTGACCGCCCTGGCTCGGCTTTGTGTCGGTTTCAGCCGCCCGGTTGCTGCCACAGCCCTCTGGATGTGTGTGTGTGGTATATAAACGTTATGTATAAACACAGCGACCGAGCTCAAGCTGTATTTTGATCGTAGCCGCCTGAACAAACGCAATCCTTTGTCCCCAAGGCACCTTCGATCCCTCCCGTGTGCCTGCCCAACACCTCGCCACCAGCAGTGCCACTGCTCCGGCCACAAACAGAGGCAACGCAACTTCTCTTCCCACGCACTTCTCTCCTTTTTACCCAGTTCAAGCACTGAGGTGGTGTGTTGCACCAAAACTTCAAACTATCAAAGCCAAATCCCACATGTATTCATTCCAAGACAATGCGTTTTGTTGCGGAATAAAGCCGCCTTTGACGCAAGGACGGCCTGCACTCCAGGGGTAGGATAGACTCCAAGTCACTTTGTAAATGACTTTATGCTCCATCATTTCCCAAACACGCTGATTTTAATATCATCTGCCAGCATTACTTAGTGATCATTCAGTATCACTTCTTCAAGGTCATCGATAAAACAGAACAGCAGAGGAGCAAAACTGGTCACTGGAGGACCTTGTAGACCCTGACACACTGAATCACTGACACGTGTTTGCTAATCATTCCTCTTACATATTTTGAGGCCCACCAATTATACACAGTCTAGTTTTTTTTTTTTTTTTTTATATGTGTGTTTGTGTGTGTGTGTGTGGTTTTTGTTTGTTTGTTTTTAATTAAGATGTTTGCTGTACCAAGTCAGATGGCAACAGAAGCTTAAGGGGATAACATCATCATTGTTTTTATCAAATAAGCATTTGCCTGAAGAAGAGATACCACAACAGCATTACAAGACGTGCTTTGTGGAAATGTCTTTTCTGAGTAGTAATTATAATCAAATCTTTATTAATTTAGTCCTATATAAGCCACTCTGATATCTTGTTGAGGATTATGATCAAGATGACAGGCATGTAATTAACTTGGCTCATCCCTTGTACCTTCTGAATTAGCTTTCTTCCAGTTCTTTGGAACTCCCAAGATTTATTGAAAAGAAATCAAAAAGAAGTTCCAAAAGGATCTTCTAAAAACCTGTATGCAACTTACCCTGGCTTACTGATTACAAATTACGTAGTTCTAAGAAAAATTCAAACAACAGAAGTACACTGTTAATGGAAAGCATTTCATCATTATATTATATGATAAAACATTCATATTTCCCCAGAATGCAAAGGTTTAACATTTTTTAAAAAGAGTTGTTGCTAAAAATTCATGCATTTCCCTCTAGCAATTTCATTGTTACATTCTCCTTGCACCTGTATTAATTTCTCGGTTTCTTTCTGCTGGCAAAAAATTCTCTTCATCACATTTTTTTTTCTTTAATTAACAAAGCAGTATTATCCTCTCATTTCTTATCAATACATTGCACTGTTTGGGCTGTTAAAATTGTTTTCATTTCCTACTACAGCATTTTAACTGTGTTCATTTTTTGCCCTGATTACATTTTAAGAGTTAACTGGTAGAGTGTTCATTGGCAGTTCCTAGTTATCAATGTGTTTTTTTGGTTTGGGTCCTTTTCTAGAGAGCCCCATTATTTTCAGTTTTCTGAAAATTGCTTTTTAAAAGCAGTAGCCAACTATTCTGTTGATTTGCCTGCTTTTCTGTTTTGTGTTACAAAAGTGATCAAGTAGGATCACTTACAAGTTAATAATAATTTAATATTTTGTTGACTGACTTCATGTTAGGATGGGGTGTACTTTGAAATTCCATACATTACTTGATAGAGTCACCTTTCTGATTTACACACTCAGATGTTTGCATGAATTTAATGGTGTCATTTCTGATTCCTTATCATTTATCATTGAACTCAACTAATGAACTCAGAGTCAATCAAATTAAGAATGCCTATCATTGAATTTTGAGATGATTACTTTTTTTTTTTTTTTTTTTTTTTTTTTTTAACACCATTGCAACACTGATAGACAAAACCAAAACTTGAATGAAAAGGATATCAAAGGAGGCATTTCAGCATCAGATTTCAGTGGTGTTTATCCTTTGTACACTACCAAGAGCTGTTGTTTCAGAAGGGGGACCACACAGCTTGTTGGATCCTCACCTAGGAGGTCCTAATGTGCCATATCACAACCTCCTTCTCATCTGCATTTATTTTACAGTACCAGGGTATATTTTAAATATATTTCTGAGTCATATGTGGCTTTATCAGGAGTTCAGAAGGCTGTAACCCCCAGCCCTGTGCTTGGTAGTGGCTGCTGCAATGTATGCTTCCTGTCGTTGTGTTGTCACTGGGCATGTCACTCCCCCTGCCCCAACTCCAGTGTCCCCCAACCTGAGAGATGAGGGGCTAGATCTGTGACGTTCTGTTAAGAACCAATAATGCAAAAGCAGGGGCTGTAGTCCATTAAATAGTTTTTGTTTGTCTTAGAGTAATTTGACCTTGTAACGCATCCCTGTTTATTCTTATGCCAGTATCTGGCAGAATTTCTATTAACAGTTGCCGATGAGTCTAAATTATCTGTACTAGAACTTCAAAAGTACCTGGGTTTTTTGAACTGCTGCCAGCCCCCTGGGAAGGAGAAATGAAAGGGAAAATAGCAAAGGCATGAATCTTAGTCTCTTGTTTTGTTTTGTGCTGGTTGCAGTTCCCATGATTTACTTCACAGTGGGAGCAGGGCTTACCTCTAATGTCAGCAGAAAAACTGATTAACAAACGGAATGCAAATGTCTTGGGATAGCAGGTAAAACAAAGAGTAATGTTGTTTAATAAGCAGGAGGTCACCTGCTATTCACTTTCAACAAATGCATTGTAGCTTGAACATCCGGAGCATGACACAGAGCTGGTTAAATCTAGAACAAGATACTGCTGGGCAGATTTTTCTCTTGAAGGACAATCAGCTTAATAGCATGTGCTGGTTCTGAGACTGATAGCAAGAGTACAGAAGTGGTTTTCTAGAAGAAACAGCAGCCAGTTGCCAGCTCTCCTACAGCTTCACCATCCAGTGGTTTTGCCAGTTGGTCTTGTTTACATTCCTATCTGTGTCTTCCATTCCCTTGCAGTGAAAGTTTGCCACTCCCAGCTATGCCACTGCAAACTGGTGTCAGGAGCAGCTGTTGGAAAATATAATATCAAAAAACAAAACAAAACAAAACACATAATATTTACCCCATACCATTTCAGAAATCTATTGACAGGAAGCCTTGCAAATAGGCACCATATCATTGCTGAAGGAGCTCTTGTACACAATGTGGAAACCAGTAGACAGAAGGAAAGGGAGACAGGGATTTCTTAAGGCTAAACCATCCTTAAAACCATGCTGATTACACGCATGCTGCTTAAGTGCTGCAGCAGACATTAATAATAAAAAACAATTTGAAGGAACAAAATATCTTCTGAGAATTGTTCCATCCACTGTTACCAGCTCCAAGAACAGGATTTTGACTTGCAGTAAGAATCAAGATGCTGAAAGATGCAGAGTGATGAGAGGGTTATTGGGCAAGAGAAGTGACCAGACAAATGTGCAATATTATAAGAGGGAAGAAACCAGAGTTGGTGGTCGACTGTAAAAATCACATCTCGTACACAGTGGATGCATAATAGTCTCTATCCTTTCCGCTCTTTCAGTTTCAGCTGTACCTGTTTTACTCATATCGTGTTGTTTTGGTTACCCAATAAATTTTTCACTAGCCAGTGTAGACCAGCTGGCATTTTTTTTTTAGTTTTAGGAATAAACCTTACAAGACTAGCAGCACATTTTGCTAAGTTAAAAGCACCAACTGATATGTCTCTTTCTGTCCATACAACAAACCCACGCTTTAACAGCTGTTAGCACTCAATCATTAGACATAATTCAGATTATCAGTTCACAAGGTCAAAGTTCAGCAATATATCTTTTCCAAGAAACCTCTTTTTAAGTCTCTACCTTGGCGTGATTTAAAGATGTTTTCTCAAAAATATGAAGAATTATTCCATATTTGACATAGAATGTATCAGTAAATGAAGAACTCGCAAATTACTTTCAGTGGCATAGTGCCAGATGTTAATACCTAGCTCATATAAAATCAGATTAGCCATTAAGTCAGTAAAAAGATTTCTTTTAACTTCACAGGGCTTTCAGTGAAAATTTTAGTACTGCTTTTATTTTTTTATATATACAAAATCAATAAACTGTTGTGATTTTGTTTTGTTTTGTTTTTGCAGACTGTGACAAAAATTTTAGGAAAAACAAAAACAAACATGGAAAGGTATTAGTCACATTTTCTCATTTCATAAAGCATTTTCTTCATTCCACGTATTTCCAGATCCTCTCATCTTCTGTGGAGTTCAGATGATTGCTAGTTCCTGAAATCATTGTATTTTAATAGCATCTTCTCCCTGTGTTTGAGTGGTGCTGTTCAGTAGCAAAAATCTGTACTTGTTATTTTAATATAGCAATTATAGTACCGAAATCATAAAGGCAAAAGTATCAGTTAAGGTTCTATTTCCAACAAAGATGTGCTTTCATTTCTACACATTGGTTCAATTCAACCAGCATCACTAGGAAAAATGTGCAGCTTTCTTACCATGTTCAATGAGTAAAGTCCCATGAAACAAACACAAAAACTGTCATTGGTATTTGGCAAAACTGAAAATGCTTAATGCAATC